TTAACTGCCCCTCACCTGGACACCTCACCCCCCCGCCATCTGACGTGCCTGCATGGAGAATCCCTCCTTAACTGCCCCTCACCTGGACACCTCACTTTTAAACCTCGTCTGTTCCTCATTGCCTGTAGCTGCTGGCACCCAAGTGCCCTCCCGAAAGTCCCCTCCCACCTGAAGGCCACCCCTCCACCCAGCTTCCCAAGTGGGCTGTCCAGCTGGGAGAACCACAGTGACTTCACGGCGCCAGCCCTGACCCTCTACAGACAGTGCTCTGGGCTAATCCCCCACAAACCTGCTTATAGCCCCCCTTCTGGGGCATGGAGAGAAAGGCTGGATGCAGCTGTGCCTGGTCTTCTAGGCCTTAGCCACTGCCTGGTCCTGGAGTCTCCACACCCACCCATTCTTGACACCTGTTCTCAGCAAGTCACAGGTGCCTGGCAGAAGGGGGGTAAAGGGACTCCCCCAGACTGGGATGGCCCTAAATGGCCCCCAACCATCCATTCCCCCCACCTCCTCAGAGGCTGCAGAGACAGGACCCACTCTGGGCAGCATGGCCTACTCTCTGCAGCCACCTGCACTGGAGTCTCCTGTAGGTACTTGAAGCTCCAGACTCTGCAGGTATAGACAGCTCTGGCCTTCACCTAAGTGAGTGTAGACAGCCCCCTCCAGCTTCCTGCATTTCACCCAGGAAATATCCACTCCAGGCCCGGAGCGTGTCACTGCCAGTGGTGGTAGTGGGGCCCTATGCCCTTCGAAGTGGCTCTATGGACCGCTGGTGCTGGGAAAACTATGGGGCAGGACAGGGGTGTGCCAGCACCCCAGGTCCCAGCAGCATGGTCTCAAACTTGATCCCTTGTGAGACTTTGGATGGGAGACAGGATGGTGATTCCTCCCCCAAGCCTCTGTGCGCTTGTCTGCAGCTAAGGAGAGCGGGCAGTAGGACAGGACACATTGGCCACACGCTTCCTCCCCACCCGGCTGGCTAGAGAGCATGCTGGGCCAGTGGCTCCAGAGAATGACCTGAGTCTTGGCATCTCACGCCACCCCCTCCCAATGTCTGATCCAGGCCCTCGACTCCCACCAAAGCCTGCTTCACCCTTACCCATCTCAGCAAAAGCCATTTATCAAGTGTCCTCAGCCCAGCTGGAAAGGTCTGGAGCTGGCCCAAGCCTCTCGGCTGGGCAGTGACAAAACAGGCTTCCGACTCTGCTGACCACCTAGGAGACTTGACGTGAAATCAACCTGAAGCTCTGTGTGGGAACCTCAGAGATTCTACGTTTGAGTTTCTCTTCTGTTGCAGCAGACCATCCTTTTTCCAGTTTTCTCATTTGCAAAAAACAAGTGAGGGGCAGGAGGCCTTGGGGGAGACAGCACCATCTCCCGCCTCCGCTCCTCCCAGCCCTGTTGCTGGCACTCAGGGTGGCCACTCATTCCCGTCAAGATGCTGCCCCACAGTGGCCCGGGCTTCTCAGTAGAACGAGAACTCAATTCCAGCCTTGGTCCACACCAAAGAGACCTTCAGACAGCACCAGCCCTGAGTGGCAGGCCAGGAAGGGCAGCCAGCTGGTCACCTGGTGCAGTGCAGGGGTCACTCTGTCCTGGAGTTTGAGGCTCCCTTCCTGTTGACTTTGCTTGGCTCTGCCTTTCAGAGATTCAAGTTCAGCAGAGATATCATCACCTCCCTGAAAGGTGGGAGCACAATCCCGGGCTCCACTTGGACAGGTGCATTGTGGGGGCAGATGCAGATGCCAGCCCAGCCTAGCCCGGGGAAGCCGTGCCCTGGCCAAGGGCCTCTGTACCATCAGGTCCCTCAGGGCCCTCTGCTCCTCAGCCCTCACTCTCACTGACCCCTCCATCCTCATGCCCTTGCTCCATTTCCCAGGGTCCCTCTCTACCTACATCCTTTGAGGTCTGGAGCACGGTCAGGGAGTGGGGCCAGAGCTATGGGGCCCAAACTGGCCCCTGGTTGGAGGGTCCACAAACCCTGAGACTCCAAGCTCCAGCCTGATGCATACAGTCTTCTGACTGGGGCAGTGGATGTGTGGGGGTGTGTGAGTGTGTGTGTGTGTGTGAATAAACAGCCTTGAAAAGCAAACAAAGCCTCCTCCCCCACCCCAGAAGTATTTCTTTCCTTTCTTTCCATTATTATTATTTTTTCTTTTTGAGACAGAATCTCACATTGTCACCCTGGGATCATAGATCACAGCAACCTCAAACTCTTGGGTTCAAAGATCCTCTTGCCTCAGCCTCAAAAGTAGCTGGGAATACAGGTACCCACCACAAAGCCCAGCTATTTTTAGAGGTGGGGGTCTCGATCTGGCTCAGGCTGGTCTCAAACTCCTGAGTTCAAATGATCCACCCACCTGGGACTCCCAGAGTGCTGGGATTACAGGTGTGAGCCATTGTGCTTGGCGACACTTACTTTCTAATTTATGGAAGCTGCTAACTTTTCAGTCCTGAATTATTAGGTAGACTATAACAGGCCTTCATGTTTTATTTATTATGTTTCTAAAGCATAGGGAACTTCACACTCTACCTCTTTAGAAGGTCTTTTTGATATATGTTGATGTTTTAATTGGTTTGGAATACATTAATTAATATACCTTACTCTCACGCCTGCCATCTAGCAGAACAGACCACAGACTCTGTGAATTGCACTTGGCCCCTCAAGTGTTCTGCAGCAGTCTGGGGACACCACTGTGCTCCACACACTGCCTGACATGCTGGGGGTCCAGTAGTGCACATGCCATTTGCGGAAGTGGACCACAGGCAGGACACTCACGGACCAGCCAGGGGACTCCAGCTGTAAGCGAAGATGCAAGCTGACCCCCTGGGATTGTGGAACTGCTCTGAATATCTCTGTGCACCCACATCCCTGGTACCAACATATGACTGGAACTTCTCAATCACTCTACATGGGGCTCAGAGCCTGTAGTTCAGTGGTTAGGCACCAGCCAGATACACCAGGGCTGGCAGGTTCGAACCTGGCCAGGGCCTCCTAAACAACAATGACAACTACTACAAAAAAATAGCCAGGCTTTGTGGTGGGCGCCTGTAGTCCCAGCTACTTGGGAGGCTGAGGCAAGAGAGTCGCTTAAGCCCAAGAGTTTGAGGCTACTGTGAGCTATGATGCCATGGCACTCTACCAAGGGTGACATAGTGAGACTCTTCTCAAAAAAAAAAAAAAAAATCACTCCACATGGGAGCATTTTCCTGAATTGTTGACATCCCACTGTGGGGAATACTGGATTTCTGGAAGGACTCTTTTCTGGGCTCAAATGAACCCAGGAGCCCACAGTGCAAGTGAGCACATTAAAGGCTCTGAGAAGTCCTGCGGTGAAACACACAGCTCTGTTTATCTTTGTTTAACCCGGAATTTCTCAAAGTTACTTAACCTCGGAATTTTTTTTGTTGCTGTTTAATGTCACATTTATTGACCTTCACAAGGTCATTTAGCTGAGGAAGGGGCACAGTTTCCGTGAGGACAGGGAGCGGCTATCATGCGGGGCCCTTACTGGTGTTGAGACCATGCTGGCTGCTGGCCTCTGGTTTGTCGTCACTGCAGATGGACCCTCACTGACGTGGTGGCCTCTCCTCAGCCCCTGCTAGCTAGGAATGGCCTGATGAATCACACACGATTCACTAATCCTAATTAAAATGCAAATGTATTGCCAACCTTCTCTGATAATTAAAGCCCACTCTGAGAATGCGCTTAAAGCTTCTAGACTGTCGTTTCTTTTGCTGAAGCAAAACAGATGACTCTTTCAGCTCTCCCTTAAGTGGTTCTCTGAGTGAGTGTGGACTGGCAGGTGAAGGCTTCAGAAGGTGAAGGAGGGGGCCGCCTCTCCCCCTCTTCTCCTGGGGCCACTACTCCAGCAGTACCAGACCCTCAGGCTTCCAACTTGGAGAGGGAGGAAGAAATGATGATGACTGAACTCCGCATGACAGAGTCACTTGCTGCTCTTAGAAACCTCCAACGGGATCAAAGAGCCTGTCACACCTCCTGCCACAGCCACCCAGAGCTGCTGAGCCAGGCCTGGGAGCTGGAGGAAGCACTGAGGGGGCTGGTTGGTGAGCAGCATGGGGTGTGGGCAGATGCCTCCACGCGCTTGTAGACTCCAAGTCTTTGGCAGGAGTAGGGTCTTGTGTACGTGGTCCCCCCACAGCTGCTGTTGAGGCACCCTGAGGATGTGCCAGGACTGCCGAGTGTCTGAGAGTGACAGTGAGGGACTGAGCCCACCAATCTGTCCACTAGGAAGCTGGCACCCTGCTACTGGCCACCCTGGAGCTCAGGGCTCTGCAGAGAGCGTTCATCTGGATGGTCCAGCCAACACAGAGCGTTTGACCCTGATCTTCTCGTGGCCCACTCAGCGGGCTCCACTCTGTAGTCAGCAATTGTCCAGTCCCTCAACCTGAGTGGGCTCCACTCTGTAGTCAGCAATTGTCCAGTCCCTCAACCTGGGTGTGTTCTGGCCCTCCGGCGGGGCTACTGCTCCCCTGCCCACACTGTGCTCCCAGCCCCTCTCCCGCCAGCTGTCCTGTGTTGCCAGTGCCTCCTGTTCTTTTCCTCTACCTCAGTTCTTGTCTGTCCCGCACTTGCTTCTAGACGGTCCAGATAGGGAGAGGGCACACGTCCAGACCTTCCTTTGGTCTCTCTGAAGCTTGCATGGCCAACACTTGCCAGGCCCCACCATGCCACAATGCTTTACCTCAAATGACACAAACTAATCACAGCCCTCCTGAGGTCAAGCCTGGTCTGGTTTGAGATGCTCTGTCACTAATATTCTCATGGTCTGACAGAGAGTCAATCTGTCAGGAATCGTCTTCTTCAGGGACTTGACTGAAATGGGTCAGCTTAGCTGTGCTCCTAACACTGTCAGAACCCACATAAATGCATGCACATGCACTCACACACATACATACACACACGCACTCACACTGACACGCATTCACACTCACATGCACTCACACACATACACACAGTACTCACACATGCACACATGCACTTACACTCACACACAAGCACTCGCACTCACACATGTGCACACACGCACTCACACACACATACACATGCACTCACGCACATGCTCACACATGTGCACACTGCACATATGTCCTCACATACACATACACACATGCACTCACACACACACACGTGCACTCACACATACATGCACTAACACTCACACACATATGCACGTGCACCCACACATGTGCACACATATACATGCACTCACACACACATACATACGTGCACGCACACATGCACACACACATGCATGCACTCACACTTGCATATACACATACGCACATGCACCCATACATATGCACACATGAACTCACACACACATACACACGTGCACTCACACATGCGCACACACACACATGCACTCACACTTGCATACACACATACGCACATGCACCCACACATGTGCACACATGCACAGTGGTTGCACCATCTGACTATATAGGTCTCATTAACTTTTTATTTTAAAGCAATTATAGATCAATAGAAATTGAAAAAATGAGGGGATTCTGTGCCCCTTTCCACCCACCCCCCGCCTCCCCACGGGAACCTCTGTGTATCTGCAGCCCAGGAGTAAGGTGACTGTGCCTGAGATGTGTGGGCTGCTGCTCGAGTCCATCCTAGGAAGGCAGGACCTGCCTCTTTCTTCTGTGACCTGGATGCCCATGCCCGGCCCCCCGTGGGGTATGTGGCCTCCTGTGCTCTCAGAGACGTGCCGTGTCCAACCTTCTCCTCACTCAGGGGCTTGGCTGCTGCTGCCCTCACTGGCTGAAGAGGATGTGGATGCAGGGAGAGAGGCCGTGGAGGTGCATAGGCAGGAGCAGAGAGGGCAGCACCACGGGTGGGGGGTGGTGCTGCTGTGGACAGGACTGGGGCTTCCTGATGCAGGTTGGAAAAGCACAGGGTTAGAGAACAAAGCATCGATCACTGGAGGGATACTTGTGAAGATTTAAAAATTGGAATAACTGGGCGGCGCCTGTGGCCCAGGGAGTAGGGCCCCAGCCCCATATACTGAGGGTGGCAGGGTCAAACCCGGCCCCAGCCAAACTGCAACATAAAAATAGCTGGGCGTTGTGACGGAGAGCTGAGGCAGGAGAGTCACCTAGGCCCAGGAGCTGGAGGTTTCTGTGAGCTGTGACGCCACAGCACTCTACCGAGGGGGATGAAGTGAGACTCTATCTCTACAAAAAAAAAAAAAAAATTAGAATAAATATGTGATATTTTATTAATGAAGATAAATTTGAGTATTCAGGAAAAGATGGATTTTCAAGGACTTTCAGTCATATGCTTTAGAAAACAGACTGTTTAAGGGGCATTTTGGGTTTGCAGCCTGCCCCACTCCCCGCACCCCAGCAGAGCAAGCACTGCGCTCTTACCGTCGAGAAACCTGCAGCCACGTGGTTTCATCAGGGCGCGCTGGGTGCAGACCGTCTCTGCGTCTCTGCGTCTCTGCGTGTGAAAGGATGTCCAGTGCGGGTGTCCCGGCTGGTGCAGCACAGTCTCCCACCCACAGGGCTACTGCTCCCCTGCTCCTCCCTCCCTCCCCAGCCCTTGGCAGCCACTGACCTCTCTGCCCTCTCTACAGTCTAGGATGTTTTATAATGAAGCCCTTGATCTGAGAGTAATTGAAAAAAATCCAAAAATAGAAAAAATAAAGAACAAAAACAATGGTCTGTGGAGTTTGCCCCGGGGTGGTGGGCGGGTCTCTGTGTGGGCAGCCTGGGCTGGGCCCTCCTGTCTGTGGGACCCTGAGGGAGGGTGTGGCGCCTGTCAGTGGCCCCCATGTCTCCAGGGCAGGATTTCAATCAGGGAAAATTCGGATCTTTGTCCCTCAGTCCACCTTCTCGCCCTCTGGGGCGGGGCTGAGGGCATTCCTGGCTCCACTTTTCTGGAGTCTGGCAGAGGCCCTGTCAAGCTGGTGTGGATCAGCCTTGTGCCACTCTCACCCAGACGTGGAGGGGGTGCCTGGCTGTCCGCACAGCCCACCCTTGCTGGTCCTCTGTGACCTCCCTCAGGACAGGGGCAGGACAAGTCCCGGAGCCTGGGAGGGTTGTTCTCAGGCACAGCCACTGGGAGGACCAGGCTGCCTCGCAGTCCCCATAGCAGAGGGCATTTTATCTGAGTGCACATGTACTTGCCACAGTCTCAGGTCCTGGCGCTGGTCCCATGCTGGGCACTGCTGCAGTGTGACTGGAAACCGCCATCCGATGGGCTGGGAGGGAAGTGGGCCTGGGGCGGTCATTGTAAAGCCCGTGCTGGGGGCTGGTTCTGCGGAGCATGGAAGCTGAAGGGCTCCGCAGGGAGGGCCCCACCGCCTCGAATTTGCTGAGGCGGCGCCTTGCTCAAGTGGCCTTCATTAATCAGAAGTGACATTCTAAGTGCACAGATGTGGCTGGTCTGGGAAGACAGAGAAACCAGCCTGAGAACTATGGGCCGAAAAGCCTGTGACCAGGGAGTGGTTCTGGAAAGTACTGGCAACAGTGCACACCAACGCTCCCGTCAGGGGTGTCCGTACGCTCGGTGCAGCTGCAGAAACCATTCACCTGGACCTCTGGCTGGTGCCTGTGGTCCCAGCATCTTTAACAATGTCCTCCCTAATCTCAAGGGGTGAAGCTAGGACGATAAACTGTATAGTCACCCTTGTCGTTTTCTGTCATGAACAGATCCTAGGGGAGGCCTTCCTTAAAGAAAACTGTCTTGCAAAAACCCACTTCCTAATCAAGTCAGTTAGGAAGAATGTATTCATTTTCCAAAGACCCTGTTGGGTTTTTTTTTTTTCTTTTCCTTTTTGGCTGGGAAAGAACATTCTTAATTTGCCAAAAGATACTGATGATATTCCCTGAAGTGCATTTGCAGCACAGCTCTGTTTTGTAAAAAATTGAGACAGCGCCTTAGGAGCATCTGCTGAGAACAGAGGGAAGGTGGCTTTGGTGTCCCGTAAGCTCCCAAAGGTAGCACAGGGCGTCTGATGTCGGGGAGGCCAAGACGTGGGGGTGCCCTGGCTGTGTCACTACCCCCAGGCTTCTGGAGAACTGCTGGCTCAGGGACATGGCAGCTGTGCTTCTCTGCATGTGGCCTGCCAGGGCGGGGGCTGCTACCGCCAAGCATGTGACTGGGTGGATGGAGGCTTGCTGAGCAGCTGACGTGTGGCAGGTGAAGATTACGCCACGTGTGACGGCAGCAGGAGACGACGTGTCACCAAACATGGCATGGGCTCTAACAAGGGTCATGAGAATATACGCAGGGAGAAAGGACCCCCCAACACACACGTTTCCTTGGAAAGCAACTGCAGCCTCTGATCGGTGATTCAGAACCGCCACTGTGCCAGCAGGCACTGGTGGGGCTTATAAAGGGTCCCAGGGCCATATCCCCCCACCAAAGACAAAGCACGATCTGGACAGACACTCAGGGGCGGGACTGGGCTTAGCAACCTTCATGCACCTGCCATGTGCATCGGCAATGACCTCTGGTGCTGGGATGTTTTCACCCTCCACTCCTCCCCACCCCATCCTATTCTTGGCTACAAGTTATTTATATGTATACTGTCATTTGAAGGCACATGGGACCAATTCTAGGACATCACAAACAAAGAGGCTCTTGTGAACTCGGCTGCTGGGCTGGCCTCTGGGCTGCTTGTCTGTTCCTGAGCCCACTGGCCCTGGGCCAACTCTCCAGAAAGTGCATTAGACTTCAGGTGGGCCAGACACCCTGCTGGCCAAGGGATAGGGCCACAGCCCAAACCACTATGATGAAAAACACCCTGCTATGCTTGGGAACTAAAACAAATTACAGGTCAGGACAGCTGGGCTGACCCCAGTGGTGGCACCATTGTGTGCTGCCCTGGCCTCCCCCAGAGGTGTCTTTTAAGAAGCCACTTTGTGAAGACAAATGCCAGCCCTTTGTCCTTTGAGAAGGAGTCAGGGAGGGCCTCCGTGCCAGCAGATCTGAGGTCTGCCCATCACACTGGCCCACTGTGCCTCTGTCCTCTTATCTCACTTAAAGGAAAGTGACACCTCTGTCTTCCTGTCCTGAGCATTTGAAATCAATGGTGGGAAAGTGTCCCTATTACAAAGTAGGGACACTTCCCAAGTTTGGGAGTGTCCCCATCTCTGTTCTCTCTACACGGTGTTTATCCAGAGGACAAAGATTCATCGTGACATAGAGGTCTGTGATGGCAGCTCAGGGGTGGGATGGGAAGACAGCTCTCCCCACAGCCCCTGTGTCTCTGTTGGCTTGGGGTGCCTGGCGAGATACCCCATTAGAGACTTTGAGAACTTCAGCCATAGGCCTTGGTTTCTCAGTCTAGAGGCTGCACGTTCAGAGCCCAGGGGTATCTGGCTGCCTGTCCGCATGGTGCCCATGGTGAGTGTGTGTCCCTGCTGCCTCCCGTGTGGCCTAATCTCTTTTGGTAAGGACTCCAGTGCTGTTGGGTGTTCTGTTTCCAAATGGTCGCGTTCTGAGGTATGGGGGCTAAGGCTTTAGCATATATGGATTTGGGGATGCACAATTCAGCTCAGTTTCCCTAATAAATCATGTGCACAGGAGAAGCCACTCCGAGACATGACCGGCCAGCTTCCTGCTTCTCAGGAAAGAAGGGGAGACCCTAGGCGGGAAGTGGTGAGGTCAGCGCTGTCTGCTCAGAGGGGACTGCTATGGAATCTGCCTGTAAGCTGCCAGCTCTCCCCGGGGATAGGACAGCTGTGAGCCAGGAAGAGAGGACATGAGGCCCAGGCTGCTGCTGCTGCTCATTCTTCTGAGTGTTATAAAATGTGGCTTTGCTCAGAAACTACCCAGTGTGTCTTTTTGTTAACCGAAGTTAAAGTTTCTCCAAAAAATACCTGGCATAGTTTACAAAACAAAAAATTTGCACCTTAACTTGATTGAAGGGCACAATTTCTAATTCCTGGAAACTCAGAGGAACAAAGTCATTATAAATTATAAGTGTGGAAACAAGCCCATCCTGCACACTGACCCCGGCCTCTTCCTTACTGGCGTGGAAGCTGCTGAGGGGGGGCTGTAACCTTCTGTCGTGTCGACCTGCAGTGGCTCCATGTGGGATAATAAGTAGTTTAATTAATCTCTCAGATTTTCCCATCTGTGAAGCAGAGCTTGAAATGCTGGCCATGGGGTCATGGAGGTGGGTCATCTGCTTTTGGGAAACTTCCGTGCCGAGATGAAAGACATTAAAGCCATAATTCTGTGCTGACCAAGAAAGGACTCAAATCTCCAGGAGATGGTCTCTTTGTGCACAGGAGCCATGAGGAACAATGTGTCGTGGGCCCCCACTGTACAGGGCCTATGGAGCCCTGTACCCCAACACCATGGCCTGTGTAGTGCACATCTTGGCATATTTTGAACCCCCCTTCTTTGGAGAGGGGGTTACTGTTTCTCAAAGGCAGCAGTGGTGCTAAATGGGGGTCTAGTCTTGCCAATTTTTTTAAGTGGGTTATTTTTCAAACAGGTAAATTATGTGTGTTTAATAGTGACTGGTCAGTATTACAACTCATTTATTTGGGGGTAGGCTCCTATTTGTGTGAGAAACCCCAGTGTCCCCCACAATGTTATTCGGGCCAGAAA